TCTTTTACTAAATACGTATTGTTAAAATATGCTATCCTAAACTCTCGGGAGCGATGCCAGCAACTCCATTCGCTTTGGCTGAGAATAATAAAAGATAACGAGACTGCTGCACCATCTGATTAATGACAACATCCATTGCAATCGATTCATCTATAACATTGTATCACCATTACACGCGAAACATAGGTAACAAACACTCTACCCTGAGTATACCACGAGGCAAGACAAATTTGCGGTCTAACTTTCGTCTCATCATATATGCTTCGCTGTGGAATCGATTGCCATTCAACATCAGGTCGTGTAAGACTGTGCAATCCTTTCTCAGTAAGTTGGGAAGCTACCTCTACCTGGACACCATTATGTCGCTTTTCCGTGGGAGTCATTTGAAGATCTATTCAATTAAAGCCCAGATAATCTCTAATGGGTGTAATATAACCAATTCACGCAACGTACTTAGTTCTCAGTGTCCACAATTTACTTAAACTGCAAATTGACCTCCCACCATCGCATGAGACAAACATATGGGGCAAATACCTTGCCAGAAATGCAGACAAATATAAGAAGCTAACGTGATATTGCTCTTACAAGGGCATGACATCACCTGTGTGTGTATGTTCTGTGCCAAATATTGCCACAGCTTTTCAGTTGAGGAGAAACATGCCTACTATGCTTATGATTATCTTCATGCGGTATATTGTTTCGACCAGATGCTATACTTATCTGGAGCCTGAATGTGCCACTGGTACTGTGCACCTTGGACCGAGCACAAATTGTGCGTTCAATGCTTTTCGGCTGGTAGGAGGTGTTGGAAATTTGGCACAGGACAGGTAGCCGGCTACAGGCCGGACCAGAACACGAACCAATGATAACTCTTCCGACAAAAACCTGTTGAACTGGTGCTGACGGAGAACGTGCAAACACCTCATCCAAGGTTTAGCAGCTACAGTCAGGTAATTGTTGGTGACGCCTAGCACTAGTACTCTCATCCTTGTGTGTCTTCCGTTAACATCAATGTGTCCACCTACTCGGGAGCATGCTTTTCCCCCATAGACGCATACATCTAGCACTGTGCCTACATCCAGCAAGTCGCATTGGTTAATGTCCCATGATCAATGAGAGTGTCACTGATAGTGCGTGCATATAGCCCCGCGTGAAATTGAATGCACAACAAGTTATTTTGATTTTTGTAACAAGCTAACTTATTAGCATTATGCGTGGATTTGCCTGTACAGGTATAGTGTGATAACCATCCGTAGGTTGCTGTGCGTTGTTTGTATACGGCGCGGATGAGTAGCAGCACATGAGTTCGCTTCGACGCCGGCCAAATTCGGGCTCACCATCAGCACAAGTAAAACTGTCAGTCTTTTTTCGCCTTCTCCAGAAATGGAACGCGTGGGTCTGCGACAAATCCACATTGGCAATGATGTTTTGGAATACACTTTGAGACTTACGTATCTAGATAGCATAATGTCCACCAACCTACAGACTACAAGCGAACTGCGCATGCGCGCATCAAAGGCAGCTGCTACACTTGGCAAGCAGGAAAAATGAGCGTGAAACAAACACCAGCTCATTGTCGGGACGAAGCTGATGGTATACAAGTTTACGGTGTTGTCCGTTCTGTTATACGGCAGAGAAAGACCGATGCTCTATCGGAAGGATATCCGTTATCTGGAGCACTTCCATCAACAGTACTTGCGTCGTATTATGCGGATCAGCTGGCATGATCAAGTTGCAGACAATGAGGTGCTCCGGCGTAGTTTCGTGTGTGCAGTGGACTGCAATACTTATGTTTCGGAACCTGAGGTGGCTGGGGCATATTCGCTGCATGGGTTCGACTTGGATACCAAAACAGCTGCGTTATGGCCAATTGCGTGCAGGGAAGCGGCACGGGGAAAACCGAAGTTACGTTACAAGAACACGACCAAGGTGAAGTTAGCACGAACTAATGTTGATTTCGGGTGTTGGGAGTCGATGGCAGTGGATCGGCGTCCATGGCGAGAGGATATCAAGGACGCGGTTGCCCAGGAGCAAGAGAAATCACTACTGCACGCGGAAAAGAAACATCGGTTGAGAAAGCGACAGGTGTCGACGGTGGATAGCCCATCGAGGTCGAGCGCATTGTGCTGTAGCATAAGCGGTCGCGAGGGCCTCAGCCAAGTGGGCCTGGCAAGCCAACAGTGTCGCCACGCTGGGCCAACATCTAGGAGGAGACGAGTATTCTAAATGTGTAGTCATCATCAGAGCAGCGTTTGGTAAGTTCGCTGCTTCCGATTCAATTTTCTAACCCAGGTCAACAATACGGCTGGTGTGGTAGGCGTGCCGCATCGTTGTTGTAGTTGGTCTGTACGTCTACCTGCGTGTTGAGTTTCTTGCATTTCAGGGGCTGGTTGCTGATTGATACCCATGGTGTGGCTGCGCTTGATGTGAATGTTGACAAGGTGCCTACCCGTCTACTATCCACCACATTGCCTATACTGAGTTCAGGAGGTTATTCGCTGCTGGGGGAAGGGACGAGATCACGGTCTTCGTGGCCGTATTAGGCTCAAAAATGGTTTCATGCATCCAGTGTGGAAGGAGTTACGGCCGAGCCACCGCTTTATGTACGTCTGGTACGCATAATTTCCCAAGTAGGCATGAATGCTTCTTCCCGGTTGGTTGGAGGAGAGTGGGCCTCCTCACGGATGAAACATGGCTCCCATCCACATGCCTCCCGGTCTTATTCCTTCGGATGTAAACAGGATATAGGGTGTGTGGGTGAAGCTGTGGGTGGTAAAGCGCAAGCCATCCACGGTCCCTGCGTACGCGCAGGCGGACCGTGGCTGACTAATGGGGACCGGAGTGACAGGGGATGCCGCCAACCAACAAGATTGGCCTGTATGGAATACTACGCATCTTCTTTTGTATGTTCTCCAGACAGCCAACCAATTAAGGTAAACCGTAGATGTGAATGCCACAAACACCTAAAGAGAAACACCCACGCGAGCGCTATTCATAACTACCAGTGGCGTTTTTGTCACATTTGTCCATAGCCAGGTTCACTAAATAGATTATTCTCATAAACCTAACAACAAGACGCAAGTCGATTCAAGTGGGGTCTGCTACGTTACGTCCATGTACGACTGCCACAGCTATTCTCGGTCTAATCCGTAAGAGACTATGAAGAATTCGTCTAGACAACATCCTAGTTGGTCAAATGATGTCCAGTAAGGAGGAGGACTACGGGTTCCAAAAATGGAAGCTAGGTAACATAACAAACATTCGGGTTAACTTTTTGCAGCAGTTTGACGGAGCATTTAACAGTTAAATAGCGCATCCATTCTTAAGACAGTCACACTAAATGACATCAACAAACAAGTAAGACATTCGCAGTAAATTGGAGGCATGTACTGATCAGTAGCGGCCCTCTCCTCATCTTAATCAACGGATAGACCTAGATGAGGTGACCTGGGAGGTTCCGAATCATAAGGTGATTTAGATCTCGTCTATGTAGAGCCTGACTCCGATCCGCCGTTAACACCAATGCAGCTGGCCATCACATACAGGATTAGAGAGTATAGCGAATAGCCTCAATAGACAAAGCTCCAAATTCTATCCATGAACACCTGCGGATTGTTTGTTTGATATGTGTACGTACGACTCCCGCAGAGTGGACAGAAGAAATGCTTGATAGGTGAGCTCCGCTAGGAGTGGAGACTCTATAACCAAATGGGTCTCTCCTGACCGATTGATGAAATGCGCCAATCAGTGTTTTTGAGTTTCATTAACAGATTGGTGAGGTAGTATCAGTCCGGGTTAGAGTTAGACACTGGCCAGAGAAGTAGAGATTAGTTGGAAGTCCATTCGTTGTCAAAAAGAAGCTAAACACCTCTTGAGGATACGCACAGGAACAGGTTAAGTGGTCTCATCAATAATGACTGAAAGCAGAAGCAACAAGAATCTCGGAGACCTGATAAAGATAGGCAAGCTTAGAGCGCATGGTCCACATAATAAAGCTAAAATACTTCAACAGCCCATTCCCTAGGTTTCAATCTAAACAGGATAGCATCGCATGAAAAAGGCGGCTTTGACTCCTTTTACGGGCTAATACAAAGTTGAGAGGAAAAGGCGATTAGAGCAAATCTAGTCATATACCAGACCAAGATGGAAGCCGTGCAAGTGAATAAAATTGAAGGCAAATGCCAAAATGTGAACAACAGAGCGTAAAACGCTTGTAGTGTTGTTGATGGTGCTGCTATGCACTATCAAAACATTCCCATATCCAACAAACACTCGCATTCGAGTAGCGTGGGAAAAACCGTCATAGCAAAACTCTCACTTCGGATAGAGACATTGCCGCCACAACCCAGTTAGCGTTTAATACCGACCGGGGTTGGAAAAGGACTAGGGTCGCAAGTCTGACATAAGGACGAGCGGTGGCTCACAAATGAAATGCCATAGGCCTGATGTGGGTATATCCTAGGCATCACTTCGCGCTCAGATAGCGCAAAGTGCACAACGTTCTCCAGACAGTTCACGGTGCAATGAGTATGAAGATCACAAACAGGATTCTAGCGGCGTTTAACAAAACTAAAGTGTCGATCGACGAAGTCATAGTAACAAACAAGAATGATGGTATTGTAGACCGGGAAGCAAGCTAGGTTTGTGCGGCAGCCTAGACACCAGCCGCGGTATGAAGAGCTTTGCTTTGGAGACAGATGAACAGATGTGAGGACTTAGTGCTAACTTCCCAAAGAATTGCGTATGTGCAACAAACTACAGTACACTTAGACACTAGGATTGTGGTGAAGGATAGCAGCTTATCCGATTCAGATGAAGTAAAAAAATGTTCAGCTAGTTTACATGACCAAAGCCACCGTCCCAAATAACTTCAAGTCATTATGAAGGACTTCTAAAAGGTAACGATATCAGGAGAATGATGTTTGTGCAGCTGTATCCTGATGCGTGCCTTAGTAAGCCCCAGTGGCGAACCTAATGCACGACAATTTACATCAGTTTGTTGAAGATTCTGGGCAGATTTCAAAAGTGCAGATTAGATCCAAAAACATAAGATCAGGAGAGAGCTGTTGATAGAGCGATTGAATAACGGACCGGTGAAAATTCTGATGGTAGATAGCAATGTGCGTTGTGGATTCAAAACACTGATCAAGTCAACGCATCCTTCCGAACCATGAAAACGGGGCAAATGGTTATCACATAAATCGTCGTTCAACCGGTCACACAAAGTAAGTAGAGATCAGCGTCGGTTAAAAGAGAGGTGAAGTTTCTCATTTGAGGTATAAAGAAAGGAAAAGTCGCTAACAGCGCTTCAAATACGAACAAGGTAAGCAGAAGAGAGTTAAAGGGCACATATTATAAAATCATCAGTGATCAATGTGGGATGTGTGAATGAGGTGGTAGCATCACGGTAAAAGAAAAAAGCAGCGTCATAGAGGATACGTCTACAACAAAGCACACTGCCAGAAAGGTTTCCTACATTAGTGAAATAAGAAAGCAAACTCGGCACATTGGGCGCGCATGCGAACGCGGATGGTGATATGGCCAGAAGATCAGGAACGCCGAAGGGAGCGCAACACATAAAGAATCACATGACAAGCAGAGCCAAGAAAAATTCCACGATGGAAAGAAAAATAAACTCAGACGAAAGATGGAGACTGATTGAAAATAAAATGAAGAAAACCGTAGGAGACATGTGGTGATGAGGAGGAAGAATACGGCGAAAAAGAGAATGATAACTTAAAGACAAAGCAATCCCGATGACGATTATACAACTTCGGCCTGGGCATGTGTCATTTTTAAGAAACATAAGCGATGAAGTAGGTGCGTCAGAGCATGAAAGTCGAGGACTGCTTGGATGAAACATAATTATAAGAACAGCCGAGATGTGCTTGTATAGTTTCACCATGATCAATATTTCCAACGATGCCGCGAGTTGGAAGCCTATCAAGAGAAAGTAGATAGTCTGTAGATGGCTGAAATTTGAGCATGCGTAACGATGAGATGTAGAAAGGGACCGGTATGACAATGTGCTATGGGGATTAGTAAAATGGATTCATGCTGGCTTGATTTTGAGGCAGCACGGGGTTCGACGCAGACCAGGGGTTTCCATGCATAGACACAAAATAATTAGCCGGAGCGACATTGAACGGGGATTGGATCGTTTGTAAACCACGAAGAGGTGGGTGTGATGGCGATAGATTCGATGAAGAAGGTGCAAGGGGCGGGGCGAGTTGGTTCAAGGATAACTTTGCCGGTTGATTAGCAAGGAAAGGATTGGCCGATGGCCCACCGCCAATCGGACGTAGACCCACTGCAAAAGGGTTCGTGGACGCTGAAGTGATGAAACGGAAGGGAAAACGCTGGATGGGTTGCAATCAAATGAATACAAAGTAGATAATGCTGAAGAAAATCCCATACACTCAGGGTGACAGATGCGTGGGTATGAAAAATGCCAGTCTCCCATAAGGAGGAAAACTTGATTTGAATGGTAACAATCAGCGGAGCGGCTTACGCAAGAAAACAACATCGTGAGGGTGAAAGAAGATCGGAGGGGGCACGCCAAAAGTGAAGTACAAGAAAAAGCACCAAGAATGAATCGTTAAAGCGAACGGCGTGAAAGAGAATGTTGCACATGATAGATGGAGCCAAGCTGATTTCACGGGAGGAGGGGAGCAGTTTCGGTTTGAAAAAACTCACTAAAAATTGAAGTAGGAGGTACTCGGGCTGATGAGAACAACGGTGTGGGAATGGAAAAAAGAAATTAAGATAATGCGCCCCAAATCATGTATTTGGATGATGGAACGATCCCATGCAATGTAAAAGACGAGTACGTCCGTCAAGCGGAACATAAAGCCTTTATGTTATAGTCGACATGAGTTAGCGTTAAAAAAAGCGAAAACATCCAGTGTTGCATGAGACTAGAAGACAATATCAAGTGAACTATAGAACCGGAGGCAACTTGCATGGAGTGTGTCAAACGTTACTTGAGCAAACCCCTAATGAAACAGCCTTTGCGTGATTTCACCGAATCGGCTGAAAAATGTCTTATACCAGATAAACATCAGCATCTGCAAAGGAAAGATCTCTGACAGAGGGAATGCAGATAGATCTAAGCAACCGAAATAGAACATTTTAATAGGTGAGGGCTAAGGAGAATGAGTCATGAGCGGGAAACACCCAACATTCCCCGCAGCTTCAGACGTGGTCCTCCTGGTGATCAAATTTGCTGAAATTCACTTAAACGTGAATCACAGAGCTGATAGAAATTGCGTGTCGCAATCCGTGCTTCGGAATGACCCATTCATTTTGAGAGTCGGGTTGTTCATTTCCGGTTACCGAGAGTCTAGGACAGCCCTGGGGCTTTGAAACTCGAAGAGAGATAAGATGATGTATAGAGTAGCTAACTTTTCAGTTATCGAAGAGAATAACAGTAAACTGCTAATAAGCAAATGACTGTCACCGGGATGAAGCTAACTTATATAACGCGCGAATCATTAACGAAGAGTCAAGAAAAGTGAAATGAATAATAGAACGGGTAGTGAAGGAAAAGATCAACAGAACCGTCAGAATAAGCGATAGTGAGGAAAAGTAATAAGGGCAGTCTTCGCGATCCAAGAAGTGGCCAAGCAAATAGATGCCGTGCTAAACTACTACTACAACAACTACTACTACTGCCACTACTACTACTACTACTAGTAGTAGTAGTAGTAGTAATGGGTGATGGATAAACTAACTGACATCCAAAGTGAGCTTCATTCAGTAAGCTGTTGAGACGGACCCCGAGTGATGCCAATGAATGGAAGCAAAAGGGAACAAAAGTGATGGGCAAACAAGTCCACAAATCGCAAAGTCAACATACGTTACACTGAAGGATAATCTGTACACAAGCTGTTTTACCAGCAGTTTTGCACTGAACGAAGTGTGTGGTCATCAGAGGAGTGTAGTCTGACAGTTTGCTATCAAAGACAGGGATGTAGTGAGCATGGTACAGAGGCCACCGCAGGAACCTAACATACCTCGATGTGGCGATTACACCACGAGAGTTAGATCTGATTGGGGCATGGGCACCTACCACCGTCCGAAACAAAGGTACTGACAATGTCTCCGACAAATTCTCAATCTTTGTTTATAGTAGCAAGATATATGGTTCGCATTATCGTACTAAGGTGGTTTCAGTATGGGAGGCACCATGGCCTCGTCTCGAGTTCATACGAACAAGTCAGATGACCACAAATGAGACTCCACTCTCATGACACTCACTACATTTACCATGTATGAGCGTTGCGGTGACCCTGCTATATGAATCTCTTATCAGGGGGCGATATGTGCAGATGGAGCTCACGCTGAAATAATCGGTGTTGTCATCTGCTTAAGTACACTGTCCATGAAGCAGGTAGGTGGTGGTGGTGGTTCTAGTAGAAACAATAGGGAAGTCGTGTAGTGATTCTTAACTTCAGCGATAGGCAAATCAATAAAGAAACGGACCAAGCTAATTCATCCCATATCTTACATTAATGCACACTGGTTTGAAAACAACATAGCCGTAACGTGCATATATGTGTCGAGGAGGTCACCGTTGGAATCAAAGCAAGCATCATTTCTGACGGGGCGCAGAAAGGTGTTCACATGTAAGTAATTCCACCAGTGGAGAACAGAGAAAATAATGCCCAACGCAGAAACAGTGACAAACACTGATTTGAACTATAAATATAAGACTGTTGTGTTACCAACGGCAAACAGCAACAGGAAACATCTGCTTGCAACCAGGTGATAAGAGTAAACACAACAGCCGAACGTCCTGGGTACAAACAAATTTATAGCATTAAAAAGATCAAATTCGGTACTTCACAATGAACTGCGCTTATCATGCGAAAATGTGCTCTACTTGAAAGTGCGAAAATGGAAAAGAATAAACTAACACACTGACCCAACAACGGTTGAACAATGAACGCTTCATATGTGCACATACTCACTGGCAACAGCAGCAGCAGTGACGTTTAGGCACTTTTTACTGATGCGTCGTTGTCATACAACCATGATGAGCTTAATGACGGAGAGTGGCAAGAGGAGGAGTAGTGGGCGAAGTGTAAAACCTAAGTGTCCGAAGTAAGCATTCTAAGCCAAGACAGCCTACGCTCGGTCACAGGTACTTGTCTGTCGTGCGAAGTATAGGTGGCGCAGTCGAGACACTTTCCTTGCAGTGTTCACTGCTCCGCGATATAATCAACCTTATCCCACAAATAACACAGCAGCTTTTAGACAAGCAGTCCAGTTAGAAGTCGACAGCAAACCACGCCCTATAGCATATCAGGACAGGCATAAGGTGATAAACGTGAATTCAAGCTCAGAAAGCCAAACGGATAGAAACAGTACAGTATACAGTGCCGAACATGAATCAGACCTGTATGTGCACTACGACGGGTGATGCGCAGTACTACATTGTACGTGGCATACAAAGCTCACAAGATCGTAATACAGAAACGTAACTATGAAAAAAACACAAGCATGACAGGATAAGTGCCTAAGCAAGTGGGTTGATATGCGGAGCAGGCAACACAGATGACATCCGGGGATGATGATGAGGTTAGTTCAGGCAAACATTGACGATCCGGGCATCCAAGTACGGTGAATACAGTTGGCATGACTCAAAGCAAAAAAAAGAGAAATTTAAAGCAGTTAGTTTCCTTCAGAAATTTGAAAAGCACGGGAAAAAGCGAAGGCTGGTAGATACATGCATTTCGTATTGTCTCCTTAGTACCATTAACAATAACCGGTATACAACTATATGCATATATATATATGTGGTAGAGGATCTATCGTTGTGTTGTAGTGTTGTGTTCGCTAACTTTTGTAAATCCACTCTCGATCGTACAAGGCGAAATCGGAATACTCGGTTGGAGAACTCGCTTAAGAACAGCCAGGATGAGGAGCCAATTGTTCGTGATCCTAGTAAGTACGTGGTGAGTTTATCAGACGTACAACTTGACGAGTTGCAGTTAGGAGCACTGTCATATGGGCTCGTTTACAAAATTCCTCCTAAAAGACTGAACGAGTTGTGTAAAGAAGTCCAGTTTGAGAACGTTTTTGGTTAATTTAAGGAGATTCAATTATCCAGTCCTGAGTATTTTGGTTTAAAAACAAATTGGCCGACATTGCCCGGTGACTGAAAAACGCACTTACAAGTCGACACCTTCAGGCGCTACGTGAACTGCATACTAAGAGTGTAGTTGTGATGAAACCGGATAAGGGCTCTGGAGTGGTGATCATGAACAAGGCCGAGAACGCAAAAAAATGGGTAGCATACTCAACAACACGAGCGAATTTGTACGACTTAATAAAATGAATGTAGCTGACGTTGAAGCTGGTATAGCTGCTCAAGTAGAAATGCTTCTCCTTCATCGCGTGATTGATAGAGACACCTATAAATGTGTGAAGCCAAGTGGCAGCATTACTCCGCAGCTATATGGGTCACCGAAGACGCACAAGAGTGGAGTACCACTTAGGCCGATTCTATCAATGCTAAATGCGTCGCAGCATAAATGGACTCGTTGGCTAGTGAAGCCACTTTCGCCTATGCGACAACTGTCCAATCCATATAGTCTTAAAAATTCTTTTCAACTTATCGATGACATAGATGACATCAACGTCTTCGATAAGGTCATGTGTTTCTTGGATGTGGAAGCTCTCTATTCACCAACGTCCCACTACAACAAACTGTTGATTACATATGTGAGTTAGCTGAGCAATCTAGTTATTCTTTACCAATTCCAGTCGAATTTCTAAAGGAAGCCTTGCTTCTGTGTACAGCAAATGTTGATTTCCACTTTCAGAACACCCCATATCGTCAAATCGATGGTGTGGCAATGGGTAGCCCACTAGGCCTTGTACCCGCCGATTGCTTCATGCTCAGGATAGAAGGAGGCATATCCGCAGAAATAGCCAAGTTACCGTACTATAAGCGTTATGTGGATGACATTTTAGCCTTTTGTTCGTCGGAGCAGCAGATTGTCCAGTTGGTGCATCAAGTCAACTGTGCACATGCCAACTTGCGGGTCACCTGCAAAGTGGAACAGAAGAACTGTCTGCAATTCTTAGACATCCTAATCAGTTGCAGGGATGACGGGCTCATTAAGAGATCTATCTATAGAAAACCAATATGTTCCGGCCAATGCCTGCATTTCACCAGCTTCACACCAGTGGGGTACAAGTGGACCCTGGTGAAAATTTTAGTTAGTCGTGCTAGACGAATTTGCTCGGCTGATTACCTAGCCGACGAGCTGGAGTTAATTACAACAACACTCATTGCAAATGGTTATCCCCGTAGATTTATAG